ACTTTATGAACACATAACAGTCCTATGTATTTTCGCATTCGGAATGGTTGTACTCCGACTTGACCCAATTCAAATTTTTATTATGGACAAATTACAAAGCTGATGTGTTTTAAATCCCATAGGATCTGTACACACACTGGATTCGGTTGGTAGTACAATTGAATAGCAAATTATGACGTTCACTCACGGGTACTGAAAAGTTAGGTGGTTCAATGCTTCAACCAGTCGTGACTTGAATGAATCGATGGTTGGTGCACAAACAGCTTGAGGTGGGAGAGAGTTCCAGGTGTTACAAACTCTGAGGCTGAAAGAATGACGCCTCCAATCGAGCCGCTTCTTTCAGAGCAGAAGTTTAAACGGATGTCCTCAGAGATGACCATTTCTGGATAGCGTCACTAGAGTACTACACGGGTGGTTAGGTTGATGTTGTATTTGATAAACGAGCATTATGTCTCCTCGTATTCGACGGTATTCAGAGGAGTAGAGTCCGAAAATTCGCAGTTTTGCACCGTAGGTTTTAGATTGTAACGCTTTGACCATTTTGGTTGCTGTTCTCTGCGGACGTTCAAGTGCCTTTTGGTCCCGAATCAGCGATGGATTCCAAGTCTGTATAGCATACTCGGTGTGTGGTCTAATGTATGCTGACAGTAAATGGGGCAATAGGTCTATTTTGATTGATCCAAAAACACGTTTTAGCAATCCAACGTGTTTTATAACGGTAATGGCTGAGTTCCAGGTAAGTAGAGCAGGCGACCGCTGTGGCGCAGCGATACAACCTTGTATTTCTCAAGCTCGAATTCGGTGTAATTTGTCATCAACCATCGGTAACCTGCGTCTAGAGTTTCCTGCAAGGTTTCATAATCTTCGGGATATTTTACCGTCCTCCATGTTTTGGCGTCATCAGCGACTAATAATGCCTTTTCTCCAAGACCCTCTGTTAGGTCATTTATGAATGCTAGGAAAAGGTACGAACTGAGTACGGATCCTTGTGGAACTCCGCGGACAGCCTCAATCGGTCCCGATACAGAACTACTAACTCGACTAGAACTGATCTACATTACTGTTTATAGTCTCTCTCTCTCTCTCACACACACGTTCCTTCTTATATTCACTTTTCGTTTCCTTGCATTGCAGGCGTTCTGGAGTGAACATTTGACACAAAATTTCCACATTTTTGTCGCTGCGACCATACTCCTAATGAATAAACAGAACATTATGGATCGGAAGCTGGATGCAAACAGTATCCTCAAGGTATTATACACCCCACCCTCCCCCTACCCATATACTTTCGCTTCGCCCAATGGACTCCATATATGATTATCCATGTTTGGGTTACTTGACGCGGTAATAGTGAGTCAGACCTATCGAACATACGCTTTCTCTGGCACAATATAGCGACAGTGTATTGCTTCTCTTATTTGGGGGTCTCAAAATGTGCAAAGGTTTCTGAGGGGTGTGTAGTGTGGCCGGTTGTACGGTGAAATGCGGACAATACTAAGTGTAGATCCGGTAAGTTGCAAGCTTTTCTGGATAGCTCGAGTGTCAGCGTAGCCATCCATGGTCGGTATGCGTTTTGCACCTTAAAAGTGTAAAATGTTGCCATGAGATTGGGTTGACCCAGCCCCCATCCTCATTCTGACTGGGGAAGTAGTACAGAAAGCGGACGAATTTCGCTATCTGAGCAGCCATATTTCATCCGGTAGACGCGTCACAGCTAGTTTCGGCACGCACACAGAAGGCTCAGTTAGCATTTGCCAACTTGAGACATTTGTGGCGCCGTCGCGACACCCGGCTGTCGGTGAAGAGTCGAGTGTATGCTGCAGCAGTTCGGCCAGCCCTGCTCTACGGTGTAGAGACTTGGCCATTAAGGGAACAGGATAAAAATAGACTGTCGGTGTTCGAACACTGTTGTTTACGTAGCATTGCACGTGTCTGGTGGGGTAACCGGACTAGTAATGCTGACGTTAGGCGTAAAGTTTTAGGTAATCACAATCGTCCAGTGGAGCAAGTAGTCGACCACCATAGATTACGCTGGTTGGGACGTGTTACGCATGTCACCAGGTAGTTTGCCACGGCGAGCGACGTTTGCCGAGGCATGTAGCGGTTGGCGAAAGATCGATAGCGGTCAAACTAAAACTTGGCATGAGGGTATGAAAACCCTAACCAGGAAACGGGGTCACATATGTCCCGTTAGGCTCCCTGGGTCATGATCATTGATGGTTAGAGACACTCAATGATATGACTGGATGTCGCAAACAATGGCTCTCGTGCATCCCCTCATTATTACCCTAACACCACTCTATATGAATTCTCCATCTTTCGCTTGAATTTGCTTTCAACATTCCAATCTTCATCCTGCTGTTTTATTCAAATGGGCAACCAAAACCGGCTCACAAAAGTGCATGGTTAATGGTTGTAAGAACCGAAGTGAAACGTAGGTAACACCGATCCTTCCTTATCTCTCCCGTGTTCATTCCACCGGGTAGATAACAAGATGGATTCTTCGAATCGTCTTTCACATTCACTCTCGATCGGACACGCTGGTTGGTCACCCTTGGTACTTCTTCCGGTTAGTAAGTAAGCTTTGAGGACCGCTCAACATCTACTATTTGTATACACAGGAGCCCATACCTAACGGGATTGGACTGCATTTCATTCCAGCCTACTGCATCTTGTGTTGAAACGGAAACGCACTTGTTAGTTGAAAACAGGTCAATCGCATTTCCTTCTCACTCTTGCAGCGTACGATAAATGTTCCGACAGCTTTTTGCGGCTTATATTTGTGCTTTTGCGTCATCTGATCCGGTCCCTCTTCTTCCTTTTCTCTTCTCTTTCTTTTTCTCAGCTGGTCAATGATATGTCAAACAAAATACCACTTGAACCGACCCTGATCGCTGCCACTCAATATGTCGATCAGCTGAACACGGTCCTCGCTCAACTGCCCAAATCCGTTCAGGAGCTGATCAGCGGTCCTTCATTGTCCACGTCGGTCCATACCATTCGACGGAAAATGGGCGAAAATTCGGACGACAGTTCATCCCATCTGGATTACACGTCCGGATTGTTGAATGAGGAATTGGAGGATTTGATGGACACCGAACCGCGAAACAGCTCCCTGATGGTTCCTCTGCCCTAAGCTGTGATGCTTCCTTGTGCGTCCCATGACCCATCATCACCCCATTATACATCATGTGTTCAATTCTTGAACCTGTACACCGCGCCCCCTCTTAAGGTACCGATACCTGATACCTGATCGGCTATGTCGCAGCATCTTTCCTTATGCTTTTTCGTGATGTGATTAATGCTCCGCTCATACTCCGTGCCATCTTTCTCTGGAGTTCAAAGCAGATAACCGAGCGCGAGCTCATCCATCCATGTTTATCTGAACACTATCGTCGTCGTTGTTGCTACCGCTATCTAAAGCTTTTTACTTGCTCAGTGTTGTGCTCTCCCCCACCGACTACGATGAGCTGGC